GTCTCTGGTGTTTGTTTCATCGATTCTTGCACCTGTTTCCTAATAAAGTCTTCTTAAACTGGATAAAGACTATACTCAAATTTCATTTCATCAAAATTATTAACCTCTTCAATTACTAATGTCAGTATATTAGGAATATAGATATATAATGCATTCTGTTTTACTGCCGGGCTTTTAAGCTGCTCTAGTGCTGGATCTATATTAGAAGTAAGACATTTACTAGTGGTTTTTATGCCCTTCCTTTCAGAAACCTCTTTGTTTCCATATGTTACTAGGTATTTGCTTAATCACTGCCGACAATAAGCCAAATCTGTGGAATGTTAGGGTTAATTTCCCCAAGCTCTGGATGTCATGATAATGTGATATTGAAGTCAGTTATTCACATTCTGTGTTTTATTTGCATGGAGATAACGTGGTTTTACAAGTTTTGTTTGTTTTTAGATAACAGAAACATCATTAATAGAGAAAGAAGAAAGTTACAGTGAATTTGGTCGGTAAGGGATACTCCATAAAGAAAAATAAAAAATAAGAAAAACAAATAAGAATAATGAAAAACATCAATGGCATATAGCTACCCAATCCCTCTTCATTTTTGGCAAATAAATACAATGTTTGAGTGTGTGCCTTCGCCTTAAACTTGGAAAGAGGAAAAAAGCTATGAAATCGTTTTTGAATTCTTATGTGTTCTGCTCTTGTTCTTTTAAAGGGAGTTACCATTTTTATTTTCTATTTTTGTCGCAAAGTGATTCCTGGAGAAACTATTTTACTCGTACAAGCTCACTAGTGAGAGATGTCATGGTCCTATATTCAACTTCAGTTGATCAAACAACTACATTTTGTTTCTTGCTCTTTCAAAAAATAATATTTTCTCTAATGAAAACATAATAACTTGTAGCAAAGTGGTTCATTGAAGAACCTACCTAATCAACATCACAATATCTAGAAATTTGGGAATTTCCTTTATTTTCACAATGTAGACCTTGTTTTCGAGCCATTTGAGGTATCTTAGAATACAAATGACATAATTCCAATGATCAATACAACGAGTATGTATGAATTGACTCAACACCAACGGCAGTCTTTCATATCTTTTTTAATTAGAGAAAGTTTCACCCTGCTCTGCCATTAAATTTTGATTTGGGTCCATACGGCTATCCATTGGTTTACAATCAATCATACATGTCTCTGTAAGGATATTTAAAGCATATTTCCTTTGACAAAATACAACATCTTTCTTTGATTGGATTACTTCAATGCCCAAACAGTATTTAAAACTTACAAGATCCTTGGTCTTAAAATTATTGCATAAGTGTTCCTTTAGCTGAGACATTCTAGAAATATTATTCTTTTTAATGACTATATCATTAACATTCATTATTTAGTACACACATTTTCAGGGGAGGTAAGACAATAGAAAACTGAATGATTTGCTTCCCAAAGGTTAGAACAAACGGCTCAGTTTTCCAAACCAAACACATGGAGATTACTTGAGACCATAAGGAGAGCGAAACAATTTACAAAACAAACCAAACTCCACCGAGCAACATACCCAGTAGGTTACTCCACATAGACCATAAAATAGCAATTTTACAAAACTAACCAGACTCCCCCTGAAAGTTAAGCAATCCAAAGACTTACAATGACATTAAAATAGTTAAATCGAAAGGCTATAGTTATTAGCAGTGGCCTAGAAATGTATAGTTTTAACATTGGTTGTTCAATGTAAATGCAGTTTCATCTTATTGTAAAATAAATTACCTTTTTTTCTGTAAAATGCCACACCGTGAATGTTAAATGGTATTTTCCTATCACGGAAAGCCATTTGGAAGGCTTTCCCTGATACCTGAAAGAGGAAGAAAGGCAGTAGAAAAAAACATTCAGTCAGAAATAGGGAAATTAGTTTTGTACATAATTGTGATAGCAATAAACATCACCTGCCTACGGTAGAGAATTGCAACGTTGCCAAAATAACAGTTATCAGTTGAATGATCTGATTGCATTTCTAAGATTTTGTCAACAGCAAATGCGAATTGTGCATCCTCATTGTGACACTCCTTCGTAACTATCTACACATTATTGACAAAAATAAATTTTAACTAACTATATATATACAAAAATCACAATTAAACATACTTTTCAAACCAGCACAGCAAGAAGTAACCTTAGAACCAGAAGAGTTATCGGTAAGAACATTCTTCAGCTGACTTCGCTTGGAATTGTTTTGAATAAGACAAGATGCAGCCTCAACAATGCAACGTGTGGAGCGATAGTTTTTGTTAAGCATTCTACCAAATCATAAATGAATATGGGTAAAACCAATCACTCCCTAAGGCCTCGAATATAAACAGAAAAAAATGAACCCACACTAATTAAGGAGTTAGTTGGCATTATTTAATTGTACCAATCTAAAGAAAGCATGAATGGGGAAGCTGAAAAAGACCAAGAGTGCACAAGTGAAATCCCAAGGAGGGTTACATGACAAGAGACAACACTCTTGCTAAAAAAAAATATTCTTTACTTTCTTTTCTATTTCTTGGGCTCGTAATTGAGGAATTTAATTTCTTTAAATTCAAGTTTTAATGGTAATTGTATTTAGTTAAAATTGGGCTACAATCGAATACTCAATCAAAAATGGTGTATGCTAAAGGAACATTAGGATTATGGAAATATATCATATCTGTTAGTATGGCGAGGTACATTCATTAAAAGCTTTGTTATTTTGGTTCTAATATGTTGATGGGTCCTTAATATGTTGATTGTTGGTTATGTGTATGAGAAATAAAAATATTTGTTGAGAGGTTGCTTCCACTTCGTGATTTTTTTTGTCTAGAAAGGAATTGTTAGGCTGTGGAATACTTTTGATTCACACAGAAAAATGTGCAGTTAACCGACTTGCTCTAGGGATTTGAGACCTCCGTTTAATTATAGCTTTTTACTTAGCAAGTGGATTTCTTTTGCTGTTACTATGTACATTGGTTTAAAAACTTATGACTTAGAATTGATTTTCATTGAGCTGTTTCATTCTCCTTCTCTTCTCATTTCTACGTTCTCTATCTTTTCCAATCTTCTCCGATCTCTATTAGTCATTGTTTATCCTCATCGTACATGATAGTGAAGTTCTAGTCACATGATTACTCGCTCCATCCTCAGCAAAAATCCCTATACCATTCTGTAAATAAAATATGGGATGGGCTCATTGGGGTCACGGACAAAAGGTTATATGATAAGATGGTTCTTTTCTAAAGTTTCTCATGTTGAAGCATAGTACCAACCAAGACATAGTTAGCCTTTCAACATTAAATACTAGTTATTGGTATTTCGATCAGGTTTCCTGTGGTGCCTAAATTGGAAATCACTTGGGAACTACCTGAGTACTTGTCTTAATATTGTCCTTCAGCTAAAAGTCTAGGATTATAGTTATCTACACATGCCAAAGCATAATTCATAACGGCAAGAAAAGATAGCTCAGTATTTTTTTGTTTATTTCTATTTGCACGCTTCATCCAAAAAGCCGTCGTTCTTTGGAGATCAAATGTGACTTGTTTTGTTTATCACTGTCTTTTTAGCATTTAAGATTGGCTGGGCATACATAGGAATTCAAAAACTTTCAAGTATAAGGAGTGTGATTTCTTTGCTATCAGTTGTTGACATTTGTTCTACGTGCTTCTATAACAATTTTGAAATCTGTTGGGATTTTCAGGTGCAACCACAACATCTGGTTATACCTTCAATGCAAAGCCATGAATAGTGTAGATGTTTCGACGCATCTTTTTTATTTGACTTGAATGCTTGTACGCATGACATGGGTGAAAACAATGGTGTAATGATTTAAACGTAGGCTCTCGTGTAGAAGGTTTGAGTGTCAGTTTTGTTACGTCACTAAAGTAGATTTTTATTAACACATGTAATATTTAGCTGCATGACCAACTGAAGGGAAAGACGTGTGTTGGGGTTATGCATGTGATTCACCTTGTAGCTTGTCATGGTCAGAAGCATCTGCATTAAGAGTTTTCTTGTGATTAATGTTTGCAGACACTCCAGTTGTTATATTATTTACTTTAGGTAAAATTGTTGGATTCTCTTTTCCTTTATAATCTTAAGAAAATGTCCACTTGCTAAAATACCAATGTTATGGAAAGGGTTCGCAGCTTCACTGATGTTCAAGTGATGCTGTATAAATTATAATTTTATTTTAAAAGTTAATTTTCTGTACGAACACTATGCATGTGTAGCATTACAGAGTTATGAGAATTAGCTGTTTGCTGGGGTATGTTATTTAGAGAGATTCAGCTTCGGGCCATCGTGTTTAATGCGACGATGTTGAGTTATAACTTCGAGCAAAATTCATCAGAAAAAGAAAAACTTTAACAGGAAGAAAAAAGACTTTAATTTATAATATTGATTTAAAAATTCATTGATTCCACACGATTATATATACGATAAATTTATAATATATACATAAATATAGATCTTATTTTATAAATTAATTTTGTAAAGTTATGAATTTAGTTTAAAATTTATTTTCTAACATCATTTAAAAATAAGTGTAAATTTCACTAACATCTTGTTATTTTTTAATCTACCATTATAACTCTAACTGGTGTAAAAAATATTATTCCAATCCTTGTTATAAGAACAAAATTACAATTTTTAATACTTTTCATAAAAATGATCTAAAACGTATGTTATTTTCTTTAAAGTACATTTAGTTATTAGTAAATTGTAATGAATAATACCAAACAAAATACATTTATCTTAAATTTTTTGGATGTGACCTTGCCAGAAACATTATGAGAACCTCGTTGTCAGTCGACTTAAATAATCAATAAAAGTTAAGCAATAAATATGTCGAGAGATTAAAAGAGTCAAAACTAATAACAATAATTGAGAGCAAAAACAAAAACGTGTTATTAAATGGTTTAATTGCTTCCTTTGTCCCCAGTTTGGTTGAATTGTGTCAAATTCATCTNTATATTGAACTTAGGTAAAAATAGTGAAATTGAGTATGTCTTTGTTCTGTGTCTTATTGTCTGCATAAATTTGTTTTTGTAACCCAATTCCACCAATCATCGGTCTCCTTCTCGCGCCAAATACAAAAACCACCACCATTTTCCATTCTCCTCCTTCCTCTCTCACTCCCATACCGGTAATAATTTAACTTTGCTCTGTTAAACATCGTCCATCCATGTCACATCTCGGATCTCACCCACCCTTCACTTTCCATCACCAATCAATCCATTCCTTCTCCTTTCCCACACGCACATTCATCCATGTCTATAAACAAACATCCACAAGAGACTATGCATTTTTTCTTTCTTCCTTTGTCACGCTTTGTTTCTCTGTTAAATCCTTGCGTTTTGTAGGGTTTGTGAGATGTCGGATGTGCCAGTCAGCCCGAGTCACGACAGTGGGGGCGAGCAGAGCCCGCGAGCTTCGTCGTCTGGTGCCAGGGAACAAGACCGACTCCTTCCTATTGCCAATATCAGCCGCATCATGAAGAAGGGTCTGCCTCCCAACGGCAAGATTGCTAAAGACGCCAAAGATACTATGCAGGAATGTGTTTCTGAGTTTATCAGTTTCATTACCAGCGAGTTAGTTCCAAACTATAGATAACAAAAGTTTGAGTTCACGATGTTTATTTTTGATTTTTATTTTTGATTTTTAATTTTTGTTTTTGCAACTGGCGGTTGTTTGAGAGTGTGATTATATATCAAGCATTTGTAGCAAAGAATGATTTGTTTTCAGTTTTTTTTGACAATTGGAGTTTCTGATGATTTTTGGTTACTGAATTCCGTGCAGGGCTAGTGAGAAATGTCAGAAAGAGAAGAGGAAGACTATTAATGGAGACGATTTGTTATGGGCAATGGCCACTTTAGGTTTTGAAGACTACATAGAGCCCCTTAAGGTGTACCTGGCAAGGTACAGAGAGGTATTTTTTTTTCTTTTTTATTCTTTCTTGATAAAGTTTCTCAGGATTCTTACATATTGGTTTGCAGCATCTGCTCTTTCTATAGTAATAAATTATTTGTTCATATATATATATAAAAGTTCTGTCATTGTTGTTTTATTTTTTAGTGGATACACAAATAGGACACTGAGATATATATATACATACCCACACCCACACACACTATTAAAATTTAAGGAGAATTATTCATCCCAGTTTTCATTTCCCTTCCCATCTTGAACTGTGGATTGGTTTTTGGCTGGTTGAGCCAGGTACACGAGGAACCTTTTCAAGGAAAAAATTCATAAAGTTCTCTTCCATCCCCTTCATTTAAACGAGGATGCTTGTATAATGTTGCTTATACTATAATTAACTGACTTTTTCCTTTTCCTTTTTATTTGGTTGGTGACTTTGGGATGTGCACAATATCACAGACGGAGGTTAGTCAGTCCTCCTCTTGGGTTGTGTTATTTGTAATTTATCTTGGACTATTTTTGTCAATGGAAATGTTAATGTTTGGACACAAATTCTTATAGGGTGACACCAAAGGATCTGCTAGAGGTGGTGATGGATCTGCTAGACCAGATCAAGTTGGCCTTGCAGGTCAAAATTCTCAGGTGTGGATGAATAGCATTTTTAATTTTGTTTTTAGTTCAACAATTATTAGTCTTATGATATTATCTCTAAGGAAAAATGATTTGGTTCATTGCGTGTTTTTGGTTAAATGTATATGGCAGCTTGTTCATCAGGGTTCACTGAACTATATTAGTTTGCAGGTAATATTCTTTCTTTATCCTTCTCTATTGAATGCCTGAATGCTCATTTATTTAGCAAGCACTTGCAAGCCCAATTATGTAGATAGAAAAATAGGCACGTTCTTATTAAAAAAAGAGCAAAATTGAATATTGTAGTAGGCTTTTTATGTTCTGAATACCCTCTACACTATGATTCAGATATACAATACGGCAATACAATTATTTTAAAAATATATAGGATATTATATGCATGAGATACACATTTAAAAATATATAAAAATTCATAAAATAATAAATATATAATTGCAATTCTGCAAATTCAAATTAAAAACATACTTCTTGGACTTTACTAAAAGCAACAAAATTGTATCTTATTGTCATTATAGTTTACTTTCAATTATTTACATATAGGAACAATATATCCATCTCATTTCTTCTTTGAAATGATTCAAAAAGAGAACGATTTCCCCCTTTTATTCATCAGGTCAATGCTTTTTGTTTATACATGCTTATGCCTATGTGTTAGATGCAGTATTGTTCTTTTATAAAACACTTTAAAAGGTTGTATACTTTATAGATACATATTGGTGAAGTATCTGAAAATATCGGTATCAAATATAAATACGTGAAACAAATAGAAGTATCAGTGTATCATAACCTCTACCATTGTTTGTTGTATTGATTCCAATTTCTTATAAGAGGAGGGAGGACTGATATTTACAAGCAAAGTTCAGTGCCAGCAATTTGATATTTTCCCTTTGTTGCTTGTGCAATTGCTGTTCTTAGCTTTGAGAGGATCATTTTGATTAACTTATTTTTTATGTTAAGTTTGTGGCTTTACATTTAGTTCTGGTCAATATATTTGAAATTTTTAGTTTTATTCCATGAGTACTTGGTGTCTCAAGCATAAAGATTAGATTGTCCTTTTGAAACATATAATTTAGAGGGAGCTTTTACAAGTCTAAATTGAGTTACAATTTTGTTGGAAACCTGTTGCTTTAGAAAAGCACACGCAATTTGAAGATTAATGGAGAGAGGTTTCACATCTCAGGATATTTTATTGATTTTGAAATTGGTACTCTAATTAAGCTGTCTAGCCATTGAGAGGTTCATTCCAACAGGTTTGTGTTCACTGGTTTGTTTAGTTTTGGATCCCTTTTCCCACCAGTTGGCAACCCCCGTGAATAAAAAGGCTTTTTTGAATACTTCATAAAACAAAAGTGTCTCAATCTTCGTCTCTTGCTGGATAATTTTTTGTCTCTGGTGTTTGTTTCATCGATTCTTGAACCTGTTTCCTAATAAAGTCTTCTTAAACTGGATAAAGACTATACTAAAATTTCATTTCATCAAAATTATTAACCTCTTCAATTACTAATGTCAGTATATTAGGAATATAGATATATAATGAATTCTGTTTTACTGCCGGGCTTTTAAGCTGCTCTAGTGCTGGATCTATATTAGAAGTAAGACATTTACTAGTGGTTTTTATGCCCTTCCTTTCAGAAACCTCTTTGTTTCCATATGTTACTAGGTATTTGCTTAATCACTGCCGACAATAAGCCAAATCTGTGGAATGTTAGGGTTAATTTCCCCAAGCTCTGGATGTCATGATAATGTGATATTGAAGTCAGTTATTCACATTCTGTGTTTTATTTGCATGGAGATAACGTGGTTTTACAAGTTTTGTTTGTTTTTAGATAACAGAAACATCATTAATAGAGAAAGAAGAAAGTTACAGTGAATTTGGTCGGTAAGGGATACTCCATAAAGAAAAATAAAAAATAAGAAAAACAAATAAGAATAATGAAAAACATCAATGGCATATAGCTACCCAATCCCTCTTCATTTTTGGCAAATAAATACAATGTTTGAGTGTGTGCCTTAGCCTTAAACTTGGAAAGAGGAAAAAAGCTATGAAATCGTTTTTGAATTCTTATGTGTTCTGCTCTTGTTCTTTTAAAGGGAGTTACCATTTTTATTTTCTATTTTTGTCGCAAAGTGATTCCTGGAGAAACTATTTTACTCGTACAAGCTCACTAGTGAGAGATGTCATGGTCCTATATTCAACTTCAGTTGATCAAACAACTACATTTTGTTTCTTGCTCTTTCAAAAAATAATATTTTCTCTAATGAAAACATAATAACTTGTAGCAAAGTGGTTCATTGAAGAACCTACCTAATCAACATCACAATATCTAGAAATTTGGGAATTTCCTTTATTTTCACAATGTAGACCTTGTTTTCGAGCCATTTGAGGTATCTTAGAATACAAATGACATAATTCCAATGATCAATACAACGAGTATGTATGAATTGACTCAACACCAACGGCAGTCTTTCATATCTTTTTTAATTAGAGAAAGTTTCACCCTGCTCTGCCATTAAATTTTGATTTGGGTCCATACGGCTATCCATTGGTTTACAATCAATCATACATGTCTCTGTAAGGATATTTAAAGCATATTTCCTTTGACAAAATACAACATCTTTCTTTGATTGGATTACTTCAATGCCCAAACAGTATTTAAAACTTACAAGATCCTTGGTCTTAAAATTATTGCATAAGTGTTCCTTTAGCTGAGACATTCTAGAAATATTATTCTTTTTAATGACTATATCATTAACATTCATTATTTAGTACACACATTTTCAGGGGAGGTAAGACAATAGAAAACTGAATGATTTGCTTCCCAAAGGTTAGAACAAACGGCTCAGTTTTCCAAACCAAACACATGGAGATTACTTGAGACCATAAGGAGAGCGAAACAATTTACAAAACAAACCAAACTCCACCGAGCAACATACCCAGTAGGTTACTCCACATAGACCATAAAATAGCAATTTTACAAAACTAACCAGACTCCCCCTGAAAGTTAAGCAATCCAAAGACTTACAATGACATTAAAATAGTTAAATCGAAAGGCTATAGTTATTAGCAGTGGCCTAGAAATGTATAGTTTTAACATTGGTTGTTCAATGTAAATGCAGTTTCATCTTATTGTAAAATAAATTACCTTTTTTTCTGTAAAATGCCACACCGTGAATGTTAAATGGTATTTTCCTATCACGGAAAGCCATTTGGAAGGCTTTCCCTGATACCTGAAAGAGGAAGAAAGGCAGTAGAAAAAAACATTCAGTCAGAAATAGGGAAATTAGTTTTGTACATAATTGTGATAGCAATAAACATCACCTGCCTACGGTAGAGAATTGCAACGTTGCCAAAATAACAGTTATCAGTTGAATGATCTGATTGCATTTCTAAGATTTTGTCAACAGCAAATGCGAATTGTGCATCCTCATTGTGACACTCCTTCGTAACTATCTACACATTATTGACAAAAATAAATTTTAACTATATATATATATACAAAAATCACAATTAAACATACTTTTCAAACCAGCACAGCAAGAAGTAACCTTAGAACCAGAAGAGTTATCGGTAAGAACATTCTTCAGCTGACTTCGCTTGGAATTGTTTTGAATAAGACAAGATGCAGCCTCAACAATGCAACGTGTGGAGCGATAGTTTTTGTTAAGCATTCTACCAAATCATAAATGAATATGGGTAAAACCAATCACTCCCTAAGGCCTCGAATATAAACAGAAAAAAATGAACCCACACTAATTAAGGAGTTAGTTGGCATTATTTAATTGTACCAATCTAAAGAAAGCATGAATGGGGAAGCTGAAAAAGACCAAGAGTGCACAAGTGAAATCCCAAGGAGGGTTACATGACAAGAGACAACACTCTTGCTAAAAAAAAATATTCTTTACTTTCTTTTCTATTTCTTGGGCTCGTAATTGAGGAATTTAATTTCTTTAAATTCAAGTTTTAATGGTAATTGTATTTAGTTAAAATTGGGCTACAATCGAATACTCAATCAAAAATGGTGTATGCTAAAGGAACATTAGGATTATGGAAATATATCATATCTGTTAGTATGGCGAGGTACATTCATTAAAAGCTTTGTTATTTTGGTTCTAATATGTTGATGGGTCCTTAATATGTTGATTGTTGGTTATGTGTATGAGAAATAAAAATATTTGTTGAGAGGTTGCTTCCACTTCGTGATTTTTTTTGTCTAGAAAGGAATTGTTAGGCTGTGGAATACTTTTGATTCACACAGAAAAATGTGCAGTTAACCGACTTGCTCTAGGGATTTGAGACCTCCGTTTAATTATAGCTTTTTACTTAGCAAGTGGATTTCTTTTGCTGTTACTATGTACATTGGTTTAAAAACTTATGACTTAGAATTGATTTTCATTGAGCTGTTTCATTCTCCTTCTCTTCTCATTTCTACGTTCTCTATCTTTTCCAATCTTCTCCGATCTCTATTAGTCATTGTTTATCCTCATCGTACATGATAGTGAAGTTCTAGTCACATGATTACTCGCTCCATCCTCAGCAAAAATCCCTATACCATTCTGTAAATAAAATATGGGATGGGCTCATTGGGGTCTCGGACAAAAGGTTATATGATAAGATGGTTCTTTTCTAAAGTTTCTCATGTTGAAGCATAGTACCAACCAAGACATAGTTAGCCTTTCAACATTAAATACTAGTTATTGGTATTTCGATCAGGTTTCCTGTGGTGCCTAAATTGGAAATCACTTGGGAACTACCTGAGTACTTGTCTTAATATTGTCCTTCAGCTAAAAGTCTAGGATTATAGTTATCTACACATGCCAAAGTATAATTCATAACGGCAAGAAAAGATAGCTCAGTATTTTTTTGTTTATTTCTATTTGCACGCTTCATCCAAAAAGCCGTCGTTCTTTGGAGATCAAATGTGACTTGTTTTGTTTATCACTGTCTTTTTAGCATTTAAGATTGGCTGGGCATACATAGGAATTCAAACACTTTCAAGTATAAGGAGTGTGATTTCTTTGCTATCAGTTGTTGACATTTGTTCTACGTGCTTCTATAACAATTTTGAAATCTGTTGGGATTTTCAGGTGCAACCACAACATCTGGTTATACCTTCAATGCAAAGCCATGAATAGTGTAGATGTTTCGACGCATCTTTTTTATTTGACTTGAATGCTTGTACGCATGACATGGGTGAAAACAATGGTGTAATGATTTAAACGTAGGCTCTCGTGTAGAAGGTTTGAGTGTCAGTTTTGTTACGTCACTAAAGTAGATTTTTATTAACACATGTAATATTTAGCTGCATGACCAACTGAAGGGAAAGACGTGTGTTGGGGTTATGCATGTGATTCACCTTGTAGCTTGTCATGGTCAGAAGCATCTGCATTAAGAGTTTTCTTGTGATTAATGTTTGCAGACACTCCAGTTGTTATATTATTTACTTTAGGTAAAATTGTTGGATTCTCTTTTCCTTTATAATCTTAAGAAAATGTCCACTTGCTAAAATACCAATGTTATGGAAAGGGTTCGCAGCTTCACTGATGTTCAAGTGATGCTGTATAAATTATAATTTTATTTTAAAAGTTAATTTTCTGTACGAACACTATGCATGTGTAGCATTACAGAGTTATGAGAATTAGCTGTTTGCTGGGGTATGTTATTTAGAGAGATTCAGCTTCGGGCCATCGTGTTTAATGCGACGATGTTGAGTTATAACTTCGAGCAAAATTCATCAGAAAAAGAAAAACTTTAACAGGAAGAAAAAAGACTTTAATTTATAATATTGATTTAAAAATTCATTGATTCCACACGATTATATATACGATAAATTTATAATATATACATAAATATAGATCTTATTTTATAAATTAATTTTGTAAAGTTATGAATTTAGTTTAAAATTTATTTTCTAACATCATTTAAAAATAAGTGTAAATTTCACTAACATCTTGTTATTTTTTAATCTACCATTATAACTCTAACTGGTGTAAAAAATATTATTCCAATCCTTGTTATAAGAACAAAATTACAATTTTTAATACTTTTCATAAAAATGATCTAAAACGTATGTTATTTTCTTTAAAGTACATTTAGTTATTAGTAAATTGTAATGAATAATACCAAACAAAATACATTTATCTTAAATTTTTTGGATGTGACCTTGCCAGAAACATTATGAGAACCTCGTTGTCAGTCGACTTAAATAATCAATAAAAGTTA